ACAGGCTGAGTCATTTCTACCTTCTCCTCTCTGTCAACGCTCTCTGGTTTCATTTAAAAGAGTCGATCATCAGATATTGTCCAAGATTAAACTTCTGGGTGGATATAGGTTGCTAGCAGCATCGCACCAATGACCTATCCACGTCATCATTTACCCAGAATGCTTTGTGTGTAAATACAATGGCCCCATCCGTGTAAAACTTTTAGTTTAAAAATTATAAAAACTGAACATCCTACAGTATTTTTACAGTCTTTGTTTTACAGGTAAAGTATACGTTTATCATATAAAGTCTAATGTTACAACTAATCAAGGATCCCTTTAACAACAACAAAATAGTGCAGTTAATGGTGTCAGTGACTGGTGGTTGGTCAAGTCTTCTGCCATGAAAACATAATTTCTACCTGTACTTACACAGCTTTGTTGGAAGTTTTAATCACTGGCAGCAGCCTCAAAAGAACCTCCTCTGAAGCAGAATATTTCTTCAGATCAAAAACCTCCAGATCCTTTCCTGATGTCAGTAAGATGAAGGCCAAAGCCGACCACTGAGCAGGAGACAGTTTATCTGTGGAGAGACTCCCTGACTTCAGAGACTGTTGGATCTCCTCTACCAGAGAACGATCATTCAGTTCATTCAGACAGTAGAAAAGGTTGATGTTTTTCTCTGCAGACTGATTATTTTTGATTTTCTTTTTAATGTACTGAACCATTTCCTGATTGTCCTGTGAGCTACTTCCTGTCTGTGTCAGCAGGCCTCTTAGGAGAGTCTGATTGGTCTGCAGTGAAAGGCCAAGGAGGAAGCGGAGGAACAAGTCCAGGTGTCCATTTAGACTTTGCAAGGCCTTATCTACAGCACTCCGACATAAATCTTTTGGTATAATTTTTTTTGATAATTTAGACAACAAAGAAGATGTTTGTTGTTCTTCCATCAGGTTGTCTCCAGACTTGATGAAGACCCAATAGACATGAAGAGCAGCCAGAAACTCCTGAACACTCAGATGGACAAAGCAGAACACCTGGTTCTGGTACAGTCCTCCCTCCTCTTGAAAGATCTGGGTGAACACTCCWGAGTAAACTGAGGCAGCTCTGATATTGATGCCACACTCTGTCAGGTCTGATTCATAGAAGATCAGGTTTCCTTTCTGCAGCTGATCAAAAGCCAGTTTTCCCAAATACTCTATCATCATTCTGGTCTCTGGACTCCAGTCTGGATCTGTCTCAGCTCCTCCATCATACTTGACCTTCTTGACTCTGGTCTGAACCACCAGGAAGCGGATGTACATCTCAGTCAGGGTGGTGGGCAGCTCTCCTCCCTCTCTGGTTTTCAACACATCCTCCAGAACTGTAGCAGTGATCCAGCAGAAGACTGGGATGTGGCACATGATATGGAGGCTTCGTGAGGTCTTGATGTGGGAGATGATCCTGCTGGACAGCTCCTTATCTTTGAACCTCTTCCTGAAGTACTCCTCCTTCTGTGAGTCAGTGAAGCCTCTGACCTCTGTCACCATGTGGACACAG